AGCCCGGAGGAGAAGTGCGGCTCAGAATAAAATAATGAGGGCTGGAGGCAGCGGTAAAAGGACAGGAAGGCGCCCGGATAAAATGAGAACGCGATTGAATCACGTTTCACCTCCGTGAACGCCGCTTATCGCACGATATATGGAACGCTTGTAGCAACATTCATTTAGTTTAACTTTCCTTTACCCCCCCCCTCACACCCCCCACTCTCCCAACACACAGTAGCATGTGTTTCATATTTTAGAAAAAAGCCGTTCACTGTCCTCAATCCTCCCGTCAGTGAGCGCCTCTTTGTCCTCTGTGTGTGACACGTGAGCAGCTGCGCATGTTACATTTCTGCAGCTGTCTCCTCCGCCCGTCCAGTTGCTGCTGTCTTCTCGGCGCTTCTGAACAGGCCTTCGGTTTCACGCGGTGGACGCCGGTTGTTTACTTGGGCTTTTTGTTCTGAGCGCACTCAGCTGGAGTCGAGATTCACGCGCATTGGACAAGTCAATATTTCTGTTCCGAGGGAGGAAGCGGCTTGTGAGCATTGTGGAAGACGTGGATATCGGCGGGTTTCTGTCACGCGGGGCCAAATACCGCGGCGCCGACCTTTTTTTGGGGAAAATGGCTGCAGGGAGCGAAAGAAGGGGTGGGGAGGGGGCTGTGTCGCCGCGATGAGGCAAAATGGCACAAGTGGCTCTTTATGCTACTCGACCGCATCTCGGTGTGAAACGTCAGTATCTGCTGCATGTCAGCGTAGTCGGTGCTCCTGGGAAGGAACTCCATCCATGTCAACGTCGACTCGTCATGTCAGAGGACGGCTGTTGTACGGCTTGAGCACACTTCGAGTCACACGAATGATGCTTGAGGATATTGCATTATGGGAAGTGTTGGATAATTGGGACTTTTACCAGGCGGTAGTCCTTTTCACACTCGCTTCTCACCGTGCACATTCCAAATGGGATTAAATATTTGTGCTTTTGTTAGCTTACACGTCCTACTACAACTAGCATCTTGCTAGAGGAGCGCTAGTGCTAACGCAAGGGTGTGCGTGCGCGTCTCTTCGCGGTGTTGGATGGTTCGTCGGGGCTTTGGGGAGAATTGGGGGTGCGAGCTGACATTTGTGCACATACACTGGACGACGACAAAGATGGGAATGTATGTTCACTTGGAGATCATCTTAGGCCTAAGGAGAGGTCAAAGGTTATCACATGAGCTCAGTTACAGATGACGGGGTCATCTCGGGGGAAGCAGCTGCTGTTCCCCCAGAGGGCCGAGCACAAAGCTACCTTCATACGCACATTGGATTCATCTGTGTGTGTGTGTGTGTGTGTGTGCAGTGAACATCTGTGCGCGTGCGAGGACAGTTGTTATTTTTGTGCCTGCGTCATGTGGTGCGCGCCTGCTTTCCCCCCATTGGTCGTGTACTGAATGTCTCTTGAGTTGAATTCGTCCGTCTCGCCGCGGCGCCACTGTGACACACTTTTCTCGGGCCGCCTTTCGGAGACGTTCTCACAGGGTAACGCCGGCGGTGAGAAAAGAAGAAGAAGGAGAAGAAGAAAAAGACCTCGGGGGGAGATGGAGGCGAGAGAGAGGAGGAGAATAAATGCAGAGGGAAAGACAGGAAATAAAGTTGGAATCAGCGGCCCGGGGGGACCTTAAGGGAGGTGTGAGAATGATTCCTTCACACATCCTCCATCTGAATTCACATCGGGTTTGCAAGCAGGCAAAGCCACAAGCCCTCACGAAAATATAGATGCAAATCAAAGCGCTACGCAGTTAAAAATATATAAAATGCTATGGCAGAGATTACGCGATTTGGATAACTGCAAAATACCTTCGTCATCACGTAAGAATACAAAGAATATTTTTTTGTCAATCGACAACATTTGGCCCGCTGTGACCTTCTACGTGGAGGTCCCAAACTTTGGACAATAAAGCAGTTAATGCGCTTTGTGATAATCCACTCCGAGGTCGCCGTTAAAGGATTAGTTGTTGCCTCTTTACCTTGACGTCATGTGTCGAAAATCCTTCCCGACACACGCTGCCCGTGGAATATCCCTCCCTCCATCGTTAAATCAATACACAGAGAAGATGAAGTATCTTCCCTCCCGGCCAAATCGCCGTCCGCTAACCGGCCCGATCAGGTGTCCTCTCGCTGCGCTCTCACGTGCCGTCGTAGGATGAAACCCAACCGGCCCTTTTTAATTAAAGAGGCCCGCAGTGTCGAGAAAGACGGTGGACGAAGGCGAGAGGAGGCCGAGCGCGTCCGCTGAAAGCCACTCAAATCCCTTTCTTATTAACTTGGCTGTGACACATGATCCACCTGCATCGCACACACACACACACGCACGCACACAGACACGCACACGGCTTCATTCTCCCAATCAGTGCTCCGGGTATCGCCGTGACATTTTCCCGTGCAGACGGGGCTGTAATTATCCCACCTGGAGCAGGTGACATTTCTTGATGCACCGTGATGAAAACGTTACGCTTCAAGTGTTTTTATTAATGAATGTCCGCCTTTTTATTACAATGTGAGTCTTTTACTGTGTTTTAACCACAACATCCGTTTAGTTGGAGCAGTGGACTATTATTCGAAGGACCTCTGGAACATCATACCGTTGTGTTTTTTCGCTAAACCAACCGAGTGGTTTTGTTTTAGAGCGGATTTCCCCCCTTTTTTGTTTGCAACCGCGCCTCCCCTCCCACTCTCTGCAGTCTGGACCCCCGAGTCTGGACCCCCCCCCCTGCAGGCCTTCCCCGTGCATCCCTCGCTGCACACAAAGGGGAGTGACTGGGAGGCCGCCGGAGGTCGCGTCAGGCGAAAAGGAGACGGCGACGCGACGGCGACACGGACTCGGGGACGGGGGGAATGGAAGGAAAATAAGATAGAAAGCCCGGCAGAGTTACGTTTCAGCTCGGCCACTTTTCAAGTCACCTGCGGTGTTCTTCAAGGCCGCGCGAGGCGCAGCTGGCTTCTTCTGAGGGGAGGAAAACACGCGCAAAATATCGCCGTGTTCTCACAGAAGCAGAACAATGTCGAGGAGAGATGAAACAGGCTTTCAGAAAAGGACATTTTAATTATTGAAGAGTGCGAAGGAGCCTTCGCTCGACCCTGAAAGTGCTGCTGAAGTGTTGCTTTGCGCTGAATCGCGTCGCGCGCCTAAGAGCCCATGTGTGTGCTGGAGGCAGAAAACAGGAAATAAGAACTAAGAACTGCACTCAGGGACTAACTGTGCTTTTCAGGGACTTCCTGTGTGAACTATTTCACGGCACTGAGATTGAATTAATTTGAGATGTGATGGGCTGTGATGTGATGAGTTTTCCTGTTTTCGGGGCCCGATGTCTCCCAATGTCCCCCAAATGAATGGCATTAAAAACTCATTATTACTATGAATTGCTAGGTACCATATTTAGCTGATTTAATGAGAAAATATACCAAACAAAGCTTCTCAAATGTGAGAAGATGTTTCTTTTTTTAATCATTGCGGACCATTAAATATCTTTTTGGACTATTTGGATAAAATCAACGTAATTGACTGGATTCTATCCGGCTAGATTCCGCAAACTCCTTTGTCTTTGCATCCTTCTTTCACCAACGTGGACGATGTCAACTTAACGGACGAAGCCGCGGTTGCGGTCAGATTGTTGGGCAGAGGCCGCGCTGTATTGACATCGACAAAGGATTAACTTTTATAAAAAAAACAACAACAACTGTGTCTACAACAATCTGTGCATCAATTACAGTGAGAGCATTAGCGCCTGTTTTATAACACACAGGGTTCAGGGGTTTTATGCATTTGTGTGTGTCTGCACATGTGTGTGTGTGTGCGTCCACTGAAGCAGAGTCGCAGCTGCTTTGGGGATTGAAACGTTTTTCTGTTTCTGTCTCTTAATCTTCTCCGACACACCCGGTCAGCTGTTCAATTTTCACCAAACGCTTAATTAATATCCCAGAACCGTATTTTGGTTTATTTCCAGATGCCTGGGATCACTTTGCTTCACCAGTTGTTTATTTTGCACATGAAATGATGTCCCATCTCATGCATATTCATGAGCTTTGTATTTAGCACAGCAGGGTGACTCTTTGTCGACTTTATAGAAAACATTGTGCTGAAATGAGGTTTGAGCCCATTCAGATAAAGAAGTCCCTGTTTTGTCTAATAAAAAATGCTTTTATTGTCACATGCAATTTGCGTCGGGGAAGTTTGACCTCTGCATTTGACCCATCCACGGACAGTCCGGAGCCAGGAATCAAACCGCCAACTTTGTGATTGGAGGATGATCCTCTTTGTGCACAAAGCGGAGGTTTTTGGAGGTTTTGACCTGTTTTTCAAAGAAAATGAGCCGTTTTATTTTAGGAAAAAAAAAACTGTGACTCACTCTTTTTTGGAAATTTAATCGGACAAAAAATAACGGATTATATTATGAGGAAAAACAAGCCGCCGTGAGCGTTGCGCGCGCGCGCGTGTGTGTGTGTAATCAGTATAATCAAGAAGAAAGACGTCGGTCATTGTCGTGCAATCGAGAGAGCCTTGGACTCCTTCCCGGGCTCCATCGCTGTCGTGATGGGGTCTTTTTATTTGCCGGGTCGAGTGTCACGGCGGGTTCCTGCCACAGAGCACTCGCGCTCTGCGTTTCATTGTTTTTTACACACACACACACATGTGGCTCGTTACTGGCGGGACTTAATGCGCGAGGCCATCTGTCCTGTTTGAGCCGACGGTGAGTGTGACTCCCGCAGCTGCGGCGAGTAATGAAAGTATCATTCACCGTGTCATTACGGCGCCACGCGAGCCGAACCGTCGCCGCTAATGGATCCCCCGAGCGAGTAAACCCTCCTCGCCGCGTTCGCCTCTTCCCCCTGTTTCTCGTTCCCTTTGTTCGTCCTTCTGTTTCATGCTCCCCCTAACCCCTCGTTCTCGTTGGACCTCCTCCACCTGCTCCTTCCCCGGCCTCGACCTTTCACCCGCCGGCTCTCTGTCTCACTCTCGCTCCGCTTCTCTGCCTCCCGCAGGCCCAGTGAAGCGAGGAGAGATGTCGCAGAAGAAGATCTTCCTGGTCTTCATCGCCATCAGCACAGTCAGTCTCCTGCTGCACCATGGGGGCCACTTGAGCTGGTGAGTGATCGAAGAGGACGCGTGCGTCACTTACTCCCCGTGTCTTCTACGAGTTCCCGTGGTGATAATTACTGTGAAGACGTCCGTCTTTTTTCTCTTCGAGTCAAATTCATTTGCTGGTTATAGATACGGAGACTTTGAATGGAGACGCTCTGCCAATGTGGTCCATGCACGAGTGGTCCAATTATGAAAGCAGAGGGATCGTAGATCTTTTGACAGCCTCGTATTCTATTCTCGTACACCAACTTTTTGCTCGTAAAAAACATCCCCGTCACCGGCATTGTTCTGCCTGTCGTCTTCCCACTTTAATTTGAACATTTTTTCCTCACCAGTGATACTCCTGAGTATTGAGAGTGTGTGCAAAACCTTTTCTATTATTATTATTTTTAGCCCTTTTTTTAACAGAATTGAAAAATGATACACCGGATGCAAACTGGAAGCTATGAGATGCAAATATTTCATTTCAGGCCCCAGAGTGACTTGTTTTATATTTTTTTAACATCACAGTGCTCATGCAGAAAATGCCAAGAACTAGTGCGGAGGAGGGCTGAAATCACGATGATACGAATATATTGCCCAGTAAGGAGAGGAAAGAGTCAATAAATTAAAATATTGATTTATCACCCAGCTATATATGCAGTACGAACACACCTCATAATCATTGTGAACCTGCTGATCCTCCGTCCTCAGCTTTCATCCTACGTCTGCCCTCTTTTCTCTGCCTGCTCATTTTAATTCCCCACATGTACCCTGATGTCTGCTTCACCGTTGTCCCTCTGTCCTGTCCTACACCCCAGTCTCCTCCATTATCTGTCTAGTGTCTCTTCAATTACGTCCAATCTCACCACATTATTTGGAGTAGCTGCTCCTTTTTTTTTCCCCGGAGCTAATGGAGCTTCAAATAAACGAATGCATTTTCCCTCTTGTCTTTCTCCAGGACCATGGAGGCCCTCCACCTGGGTTGCCCTGCCCTCCGTTCCCACCCTGCCCCTGGCCTGAAACCGAAGCACACCAATGTGGCCTTCCTCAAGACCCACAAAACGGCCAGCACCACCATGCAGAACCTGCTGTTCCGCTTCGCCGAGTGCAACAACCTCACGGTGGCGTTGCCCGTGCAGGCCTGCAGTCACCAGTTCTGCTACCCGCGCTCCTTCACCTCCCACTTTGTCCACCCGCACACGCTGCCGCCCAACATCGTGACCAGCCACATGCGCTTTAACAAGGCGGAGATGCAGCGCCTGATGCCCAACAACACCATTTACGTCACAATCCTGAGAGAGCCGGCCTCCATGTTTGAATCCTTGTTCAGTTACTACAACCAGTACTGCCAGAGCTTCAAGAGGGTCCCCAATGGCTCCTTGGAGGCTTTCTTGGAGGAGCCGTGGCGCTACTACAGACCCGATGAGAAGGACTCCATGTACGCACGCAACACCTTGACCTTCGACCTGGGCGGAGACAAGGACCGCCCGGCAACAGATGTGGCGTACGCGCGGGGCTTTCTGGCCGAGGTCGACAGGGTCTTCTCCCTGGTGATGATTGCCGAGTACTTTGACGAGTCGCTGGTTCTCCTCCGCCATCTCCTCTCTTGGGATCTGGACGACATCCTGTACGTCAAACTCAACATGCGGACGCCGAGCTCAAAGAGGAGCCTGACGCCGGGCCTTCCTTCAAAGATCCGGGCCTGGAACTCCTTGGATGCGCGTCTCTACAACCACTTCAACGCCTCCTTGTGGCGCCAGCTGTCGGCGCTGGGTCCAGCTTGCGTGGCGAGGGAGGTGAAACTCCTCCGGCGAGCCCAGGAGAGGTTGATGAAGAGCTGCTTCGGTGGGCGGATGCCGCTCCTCCGATCTGCGGCGCAGATCAAAAATAAAGATCTCCGCCCCTGGCAGCCTAGTGGCAAAGTTGACATTGTGGGCTACGACCTCCCGGTTAACCTCAGCCGCGGCTTCTCAAGCCAGGCCCAGGAGCTGTGCCTCAAGCTCATCATGCCTGAAGTCCAGTACACGCGGGTTCTCCTTCGTACCCAATCGCTGCGCTACCGCCGAGGCTACCAGCTGCGCCCTGCACAGCAGTCGCGTCCCCTCCAACAGCCCGTGCGCACGGCCCCGCCTCGGCATCTTCAGGTGCAACGCGGCAAGCTGCCCGCGCCTGCGTCAGGGACAGGGTCCACCTCCACGTCAAAGCCTGCTGCGGGAACTCAAGGTCGGACCACCAAGTTAGGGCCTAAGTCCTCACAGACCCAGGCCTCACTGACTCAAAAGTAGACATTGGAATATGAACTGAGGGCGGAAAAGACTGCATCGTCCATGTTGCTTGGTGGTGGCGGGCGTTGGCGGGTGTCCTGGGGAAGGAGTCTGGGTTGTTTTTTAATCAATGTCCCTTTCCAGACAAAGTTTGTGATGAAAATGAACGAGGGAGCAGGAAGGAGGGCGGGCGCTGGGGTGCCTCTTCCCGCTCTGATCTGTGAAACAGCATCAGGGTCGGCAGACACGAGGGCGGTAGAAATCTACGCCGGGGCTCGGCTTGATTGCACGCCTCTGCACTCCCGACTACAGCGGATGGGAGAGGGTTTTAGGTGAAAGTGGTGCTTTGAAGCAAATCTGTTATGTGCGCCCGGGACTCAATAGGAAAGAGGCGATTTCGGGGTCTATTGTGAGGCACAGAGTAGGCATTGTGTGTATCACACTGATATAGTGTCACGTTACTTACTGCTTTCATTCTATTTCTACAGCCCTCTCTCACTCTCTCTCCCTTACATATGCCACTTTAAGCCCCTGAGAGAGACATAATGACATGAGAGATCGACTGTCAGGCGTCCAAAGAGGTCAGACAGACATCGAGATCCCCTCAGACCATTAACACAACAGCGCAATCCAGAACTCTTCTTCTTCTTCTGCTCTGCGAAGACATCTAAAAATATCTTACACAGAGCGAAAGTCTCATGATTGGATGTTCAGTTGGGCCAACCATTATTGCGTTGACTCACACAGAGGTCTGAACTCACACATCAAGCCCGTGTCTCTCCGGCTTTCTGACCTCGCTGGCTTCCTAACGGCATCCACCCCCCTCCCCCGCCCTTCATCCCCGCTGCTCACCCTCTGGTACCAAAGAGCAGCTCTGACATCTTGTTTTCGCCAAACCTTTGATTCCGGTCTCCCTCGGACCGCCGGCTGAGATCGCATCTCGCAGCCGAGAGACTTCATTCCCCAATGGCGGGTTTTAATGTTCGTCTTATCGCAATAAGATCAGCAGGCGTACGACATACGTGGATCAAGTGAGCTACCAGCGACCAGCACACGCTGGGAACACAAACGAAGAGGTACAACGCATTGACAGGACAAAGACTTGGGGGCTGTGGGTCCCCCCCCCCGCCTACGAACGCTGTCCTTCGGGTTACGCGGCGTTCGCTTTTATTAAGAATGCAAGGAGCAGACGAAAGCTGCTACGACCACGTCGACGTGACCGGTGGGACCGCTGTGACCTCAAAAATGTCCCCATTTCTCTCAGCCGTGATCCATTTTTCATCCATTCCGCTCATATTTAATGTGTCATTTATGTTATTTAATTCCTCCAGTGATCAGCAGGACGCTGCTGAGTAACCGTGGGCGGAGGAAGGAAGTCTGTGTGTGTGTGTGTGTGTCTGTGTGTGTGTTTGTGTGCGTGTGTGAGACCCAGGAGGAGGCTCTTTCTGCTTCGTGTTGTATTTTTTTGTCCCAGGGCCATGCAAGTTGGCATGGCAACAAAAGGAAATAATGTGGGTTAAAACTATGTATTATTTATAATCGGGATTTAGTCCCATTACTGTATTTGAAATGTGACTTTTCATGAATCACTGGATGAAGACCTTCATATGCTCAGCATCCCACGTCCGGTGGAACGATGCATGTGGCGACGGTATAAAAAAATGAATTCCACACATGTTTCACATAATGCCACTTCTGAAAAACCGCACATTGTAACGAGTGTAATCGCATTAAAATGAAGTCTTCATTCGGCCGTGCTTAAGTGCTCAACCGCACGGAGCTTTGTGGTTGGAGTGCGTCGCACTGTAAGTTGCGGTTATGAAAAACACACAAGTGGCCGCTGCTCTGCTCGGAATGAAAAAGTGCAGCGTGTTGAAATCAGACAGGAGTGAAGGATAAACAGTTGTATTTAAAGTGGCTGTGAATATTTGAATTCAAAGTGTGCTTACCCGAACTCACAGCGGAGCCTCGGCCTTGAACGCTCGAGACGCACAGCAGATTTCTTTATTTATGTCTATTTTTGAAACGTGTTTTTTGGGGGTTTATTTCTCTTACAAATCCCACGAAAAAAAGAGAAAACGTTTGACCCGACCTGTCGGTGGCACACAGCTGCAGGTGTATTGCTTTGTGCTTTAAATCTCACAGCAACACTTTCTTTTGAAGGCTCTATAATTCCCCGAAACAGCTGGCCAGTAGCTTTTAGCAGCTGTTGCTCAAACAGAAGAAACCGCGCGTTTGTTTTGGGACTGTTTCCAGCTGCGTATGAATACACATTTCGTGCCACGCTGAGTGTGTTCAGCGGCGGCACTCTGAATCGACAACAGTGCCCCTTTTATTTGTAATGATGTGTGTGTTCATTCATGTGTTGTCGGGAGGTTTTTGGGGAGATTAGAGGCTTGATTTTGTTGTCGGTTCTTCTGCTTTCATGGGATTTGTGGACAGCAGGATGAATACAGAATGAAACCAGCCTTTGACATTGAATCCGTTTGCCGACCAACTACATTTGGATGAGTTTGAATTATGCTGCTACACGTAAAAAGAAAACATTTTGGCTGCGACTTGAAGTCTTGAACCGCTTCCAACCTGCTGTAAAATAAGGAGTATGTGTTTGTCACTAATTCGGCTTTTTACAGAGACCGAAAGTCCATTTGATAATTTGTTTAAAAATGTCTGTGTTCATCTAATTTTGGACGCTTTGGATCCCGAGACACTCGGCACAACACTTCGTTAAGCTCATGGTGGAGTTCAGGGACTATCAGCACATTTCTTTAGTCGTTTGTATATTAAAAGGCAAATAAACTATCAAAATGTCCGTGTCTGAATGGGAGCCAGAAGAATATGTTTTGTTATTTTCCGTGAACTACTCGCTTATGACCCATCCGAGGCTGTGAATCTCTCTGATCGCTGCTCTGATTGTACAAGTCGTTCGCCCGGCTGTTTTTCTGTTTTTATTTTTCTCAACGCGGCGAAGCTGTTGGGTTTTTCTTTTCTTCCGTACGCTGGGAAATAAAACTTCTTTCTCGTGGTGTCAGGCACGTTTATTTGGTCTCTGCTGAGCCGCCATGTCGCAGGGAAGTGAAATCGACGGGTTCATTGCCGTTGGGGGAAGGTGACGTACTCAATGATTATCTGACTGTATTTCCCCAAATGGCCACTTTTGATCTGCTCATCTATTCCCCCCCCCCTCGTTATTGTGGTTGGGTGCGAAGGTTAGGGCGAGTGATGGGGCTCTGATCAAATGGCCAATGACAATCAGAGCTACGGGCCCCAAAGCTTTGTAATGATGGACTGTGAATGTTACAAATAAAGTTTGATCGATTCCAATTCTTCTGCCCTTGGACCCGTTTTGTGTCGTTTCTCTCTTCAATGCAGATTTATTCTGATGTGCGCTGACTTGAATTATTCAGTATTTTAGAGCAAAGCACATAACACGCAGAGACGGTTGCCCAATTAGGATTCTGATTCTAAACTGGTTTGCTATTTCCCCAAAGACCCAAAAACCGAACTCCTCGTCCCGCAATCAGTCGTTTGAATTTACCTCCGTAGCAAATGAGGGAACAAATTGCTGTTTGGCACAAAAACAAAATGCAAAGCGGTTTGATGTGGCTGTGATTGAAGCAATCATGATGCCTCCCGCCTCCTGCCTGTCTGTCATTATGGCCGGCTGTTGCCATAGCGGCGCGCCCGCCGGCCTCCGGACCAGCTGCCTCCGGCCTCTTTTTCCTCGCGCATCTCGGCTGCCTCGCTTCTTGTTCACGTAGTTACGAGCACAGCAATCGTTGGGACAACAGCGGTCGCAGAAAACAAAGCGGCGAACGAGAGAAACAAACAGAAATGTAGAGTTTAATTCACGTTCCTCCTGAAACAAAATTCTGAGTCTTAAGACCACAACCAAGCAAAGCCGTGAATACCAAAACAACGTAGTGAAAATAGACATAAAACATAACCGGTTGGTAACGTGGGTCTGTTGGTCCGTCCACTGCTTTGCTCCTAACGGAAATATCTCTACAAATATGTTGTCCAATGTCCCGACATGCACCACGGGCTTTGTGCTAATTAGCAAATGTTAGCAGGCCATTAAGCTAAACCAACAGGGAGAAGATCATAGCTCATTAGCCTTAGCATGTTAGCAATGTCATGCTAGGTCACAGCAGAACTAGTTATGCTAAATGTGTGAAGCAGATGAATGCTTTGGTTTCCCATCGGCTACTTATCAGCAAATGTACTGATTTAATGAAAGCTCAGATGAGTTTTTGGATGCAGCAATTACAAAAAGTAGGCGTTCAATGTGGTTGTTGAACGAAATATTTACGTAAACATTTTGCTGTTCTGATTAGACTTTGCAAATAAACGCCGCTTGAAACAAAGGTAGCGTGACATTTCAAGTATTCATGCCGGTGTAATCGAGAGATTGCGTCCATCCTGCCTCACATGAATGTACCATTAGAGAAAGACCCCCCCCCACACACACACAGAAAACAGCTAATAAGATTGTCAGAGAGAATAATAGACCACTCATGGGGGGATCGGGCTACGCGCACTCACAGGACCACACTGAACTCGCTGACAGCACATAAACAAACATCACGCACACCAACGCATCAAATCTCCCTCTAATGCATAAATAGGCTCTCACGCGCGCTCATAAACAGACACAAACAAACATGCAAAAACGTAAATTCAACAAACACTCCAGAATGCGTTCCGAAGCCGCGCGGTTCGGCGTTGCACAGCAACGTTCCGTGATTATGAATTTGAAAAGTGGGTAAACGGCCGCGGCGTAACTCGAGCGCTTTGCCCTGACTGCGCTTTGATTGGGCCTAAAAAGCCAAGCGCCCGTTCGTCTCCGGGGAGAAAGGTCCTTTCCAGCCGCTGTGTGTTCCAGGTCCGCTGTAACGGCAAAGGGTGCACGGCCCTCGGGTCCAGAAGGTTCACAGCCCAGCGGCGGTTCCGTTAGCCGCGACTCCCTCCTGTCTCCCAATTCACAGAGAATTACGACATCAGACAACTTTTTGACGATGACGTCTCGCACTATTTCACCGTGTTTGGTTTCAAAATATCTCTGCTTTGCTTTGCTGATCACACACCTGCGACTTGGACTTGAGTGTTAATTAAAGACTTGAATTGATTTTCCTTTGAAAACCGATAACAAGAAAAATTGACTTTTCTTTTACGTTTTTTGTTTGAGGACTTTTTTTAAAAACCAAACCAAACCCTCCACCAATTCTTGGTTTTTATAAGACAACGTGTGTTTTGGTGCTATTTGCTCACTTGTTACCCAGACGCTCTTTCTACGCACCGCTGCAACATTTGTCGAGGCCGAGTTGGCGACCGATGTTGCGAGCTAAATGCAGTCCAGCTCTGTGAGTCACAAGGAGGCGCGGCAGCACCGAAGGTCTCTATGAATCCCTCCTTTTTGGTGAGTCATACGCGCGTTGGAACAATACAGGCGGCGAGGAGGCCCCCGGGTGGGCGGCCCGTTAACGCGCGCTCGTCCCGTCTGCGAGGAAACCCTCCGCCGGACATCGGAGGCCTAACAGTTGTTCCTCGCCCGTCTGCGGAGGAGGAATTTATAGTTTCTCCAAAGGCGGCCGTTACGTGATTGAGGGAGACGGACCTCGACCGGTGGAGACCAAGATTTTTTCTGGGCCGAAAACTATCAAACGTAGCAAAGCATTCCGGGCACTTTTCTCTTTGCCAGTCAGACGCTATTATACCGTACTGTAACGTCGGCGGTGCAGCTGAGATGAAAGCCGGATTCACTCGTTCAGCAACAAAGATCGTGTCCAAAACAGAATAAGCAAGTAGGCAAAAAATCCCTGAAAGTCAGACAGGATGAAAGGACAAGAAGGCTGAATATATAAAGCTCCAGTGTCACCGTTACACCTGTGAGTGTATCCTTTGTTTGTTGTGCCTGTTGGCTCTGCTCAGGTGTGCTGCATTGCTAAACACGGGGGCACTTAGAGGCCCCAGTGCAGCTAAATATCCTCCTGTTCAGGTTGTTTATGTTAATGAATTCCATGTTTTTTAGAGTAATCATTAATTCAGATAATAGATAAATTCACATGATTCCCCTTGTTGGGTGTTTGCATGAATGAACAGCTGGAGATCGCATGCTAACGTACCGCGTGCTACATGCTACAGCAAAGCAGGGTGTGCTGCATTCTGCCTGCTAAAGTACTACTTAGTGTTCGAATAAGAACACCAAACTTTGTTTGCTTGAAAACATATAAATCCTCCACTCCGTTATGTAACTATATGGACGGTTACACACACACACACACACACACACACACACACACACACACTTTGATGGAGCCATTGCATCCCACATGCACTCAATTATTAGTCAGAAAAACACATTAAAAGGCACACACACACAGACACACACACACACAACCCCCCTCTTGTCTTTGCCCACCTGCAGGGATCTCCGGCGGCTGAATCCACCTACGGGCTCCGTTGTTTACCGAGACTCCCGTGACCCCGGTTCAAAGCCTCATGCTTCCCTCCGAGTCTGAAACCGCCACTCCGCCCCCCCCCCCCCGCGCCCGCTGCCCACACAGGAGCTGTGATTCCGAATAAAACAAATGAAACGCTTTGTTCTCTGAGGAGTGGAGCCCGCTCGATATTGGAATAAAAATAAGAGAGAGGAGCGGAGGGGAATCGCGCGTTTCTTTTCGGGAGACGAGACGGAACCGACGCGAGGGGGCGTCGGGGGCCAGAGACTCGGCGACGCGCGTTCGTGGGGGAAGTTCGGCGAGTACACTTCGAGGTCGAGAGTGGAATCTCGTGTTTTGCCGCACGTGCGCCCGGGTTGGTCTGGCGGGGGGGCGTCGCGCCTTCGCCATCGGGGTTGGCGGGGGTGGAAGCGCCCCTCCGGTAGCGTTCGTTTACTTCCTAACGTCAAGGCGAAGCGCGAAAGAGCATCGAAATGGGACGGAGAGAACTTTTTCTGCTCTTCGTCTCAAAGCACCGGCAGGGAGTACAGTTTGCGGCGTGTGTGTGTTCCGCCAACTCGCCGGTTAACCGGTTAAGCCGCGCGAAAAGCGAAGCGGAGAGACAGGAGCCGCCTGAATAATTGGTTCCAGTTGTTGAATCAGAGCCCTTCCCTGCGTGCCTGCTGGGTAAATTACTGGTGTTCCTCACACGCGGATACATGAGGTTCAAGCTGCTCAGCTGTTTGCTGGGAGGAGGACAATTAAATCTACACAATGCCGAGAAAACTTTTCCCACGCGGCGGCTCCCCCCCCCCCACCAAACGCGACTACAGCGCCACAGGCCGGGTCGCCTGCGTCTTCTCGCCGCGGCAGCCGCTGACGTGGGAGCGTTGCGTAACAGCCCCGCGGTGGGGGATGGGGGGGGGGGGCAAAGTGCTAAACTCTTCAGGTCTGAAGTGCCGACAAACCCAATCGGCCCGCCGACGCAGGTGTTTCCACTCGTCTCGCTTGATTAGAGCTCCGCTCTGTAGGTGTGAACATGCCGCCTGTTCATCGGCGCCTCTCCTCCCGCGGCAGGTTACACCTGGTAGGCGTGAGACAGATTACGCCTTCGGCCTTCTTCATTAGTGCGGCCCCGTCTGATGATTCGTTTTCCAGCGGCGATCCGCCAAAATAAAAGTCTGACTGAGAAATAGACCATCGGATCAAATAGACAGCCGGTCGGTAATCCCGCCAAAATAAAAGTCTGACTGAGAAATAGACCATCAGATCAAAGAGACAGCCGGTTGGTAATCCCACCAAAATAAAAGTCTGACTGAGAAATAGACCATCGGCGCAACGCGGACAGCCGGTCGGTAATCCCGCCAAAATATGTCAAGAACTTTTTCAACCTGGTTACGCCTGCTGAGGGGATTTTTACTCAAGTGTCAAAAAAAAGGGACGACTTAATGTGATGCATCTCAATGCCTGCTGACTTCTCCTGCAGCGCCCCCCTCAGGTGAACTACGGTGCACGTGGTAAACGGTATACGACCACATGTCCGCTTTGTGATCGAGGTGAGCATCTTATTTCCGTGAAGCTGACCAAGTCCTACCTTGTTATTGGACCTAAAATCGTCCTCTCCCCCATAACTCTAATGAACGTCCTCTCTGAACACGCGCAGCCTGCAGGCGCCCACCGAGCTGCTACATGTTGAATGTTACGGAGTTCTTCACTTTGATGGATTCCACACACCGACGCCTACGGCGGAAGACCTTTTTCCGTTTTTTGTGCCTTTTTTTTCTCCCTCTGTAACGGTCCAATGAAACCGAGACAGCAGGCGGTGTCGGGGAGACCGCGGAGTCATTAAACCTCACGCAGACCTGTCTGCAAAGGAGGAAGACGGGCGGGTAATTGGG